GAGAGAGAGAGAGAGAGAGAGAGAGAGAGAGAGAGAGAGAGAATAGAAACAGATTGACGGAGAGATGAAGAGAATGAAAGACATAGAGGAAGAGAAACACACAGAGAGAGAGAGAGGTAAAAAGATGTTTATTCTTGTCTCAGGGTTACATTAGTGAGAGGTATGACTGGCCTGTGGTGTTGTCACTCAGAGAAATATTGATGAGACTGATCCCTGGTCCACCGCCTGAGAGCTGAGACTGTGTCAACTATATTTGGTCTAACACCTACCACAGTCTTCCTCCCTCCCTCTCCCTTCCTCTTTTACTCTCTCTCCCTTTCTTTCTCTACACCTACCACAATCTTCCTCCCTCCCTCTCCCTTCCTCTTTTACTCTCCCTCCCTCTCTTTCTCCAAACCTACCACAGACTCCCTCCCTCCCTTCCTCTCCCTCCCTCCCTTCCTCTCCCTCCCTTTCTTTCTCCTCATTTACCACAGTCTTCCTCACCCCCCCCCCTTCACTCTCACAATCTAGAGTCCTCAAGATTCTTAAAACTTTTCCCTAAGTAAAAACGAACCCCGTGAGGGAGAGCCTTAATTACTTAACCAAAGACACAAAGATGGATTCTCAAAACATTTCCCACACCCTGAAATAAGTTGATTAACCCCTAACTTACGTAAGATATAAGATGCATCTGACTGACTCGCTATAAACTACGACACACAAAAAACGGGTTCTAATTGGCTGGCTTTAATCTTTGACATAAGTATTGGCGGGTTAAATAGTGGTTGATTTAGGTTAATATGAGACTCGACCCCCTGTTAAGATTATGTTCTCTCTTTGATGTGTAGTTATGGTGAGGTGGAGGAGAGAAATTAACGCCAAGAGGGTTAGGGGACGAGACACAAGTGGATTATGGCTTCAGACGACGCTGTTGTGCAGTAAGGGGGCTGGATACATGTCCTTGTTTATTACGTAACTGACCTAAACGAACGCTTATTTGTATACGGATTCCATGTACACGAACGTTCAGGTGTTTACGTGTCTAGTGAAGGCCAACCCTTATTGATTCAAATGCCCAAAACAGATGACATATACGAACTCTGTCTTGTTTATTTATCCCATGAAGACAAACACTTATTACTTACACTTGTGCGTGTTTGTCTTATGAACAACTACTTCTCAACCTGTCCGAGAATCACCTGAAAATTAAGCACCCCAGCACTACCGGAGATGCTCAACCAAGTTCTAACAATCAGGTTCGCGGGCCTTAACAGTCTCTCCATAGGCTGTCAGAAATGCCCAACCAAAACATGCCACTCATACCCGGGGCATACGAAGGTTTATGTTCCTCTGTACACAACCAACACAAGAATCACCGCGCGGGTTCCTTCTGCAGCCAGGTGAAGGTTGAGTGCATATTGGGGCCTTGAAGACGACCTGCCGCGCTGTGGACATGTCTCCCTCCTTGACACTCAACACCTCTCGCAAGCTGATCTTTAAAGTCAGAACGAGTGGGGTGTGGGAGGAGGGGCGCTTATAGGGGTGGGAGGGGCGCTTATAGGGGTGGGAGGGGCGCTTATAGGGGTGGGAGGAGAGGCGGATATAGAGGAGTGGATAGAGGGAGGGGTGAGAGGAGAGGCGGACAGAGAGGTGGATTGGAGCAGGGGCGGGAGACGGCAGGTGGGGATAATCTCACAAGCTTGGCAGACAGGGCGAAGGTGGCTTCTTGCCCGACTATTCTCTCTCTCTCTCCCTCTCTCTCTCTCTCTCTCTCTCTCTCTATCTCTCTCTCCTTGGCCAATATACTGACACCAGCGTCTTAATTATCTCACAAATTAACTTTAGTATGACAAAGGTAAACATTATTATTATTATTATTCGTAATAATAGCAATAGTAATAGCAGTAATATTGTTTTGTTGTATTTTTCCTCACTATAAATAACTTCTATCACACTATACTGTGCTGTACATCAAGAACCATTATGACTGTACCCATTCATAACACAAACACACAACTAAACTGTAATATGATTTGCATAACTGTACTGTATGTAACTGAAGAAATTGTGTAATACCACTGAAATCATAACACAGACACCCCACTGTTTATATTCTGTATTTTATCTACTACAGTGGGAGTACAGTGTTTATCAGTAAACTACCTCTCATTAACCCACCGCTTCCCTTACTGACAGCGCTGATCGTGCGGCTCCTGACGGGGAGGTTTATAGGAGAGTACGACCCCACCATGGAGGCTGTGTACAACTACCTGGTCCCTCTACCCGGCCACGACCTCCCCCTGCAGGTGATGGACACAGCCGGCCAGGTGAGGGCACTTCATGAGGTACTTCCTTCCCTCCTACTCTAAAGGGTAATAATGAGATCCCGGGGAAGTCCCAGTCCTTACACCTGGTCCTAGTCCACTCATCTGGTCCCAGTACTTACACCAGGTCCCAGTCCACTCACCTGGTCTCAGTCCACTCACCTGGACCTAGCCCTCACACCTGTAAATCGGGACTTAACTTTAATGTTGGGAAGTGAAGGCGGTCGAGTGCAGAGCAGGCCACTACTTATATACCGAAACCTTAGTATACTGTGTACTGTACCTACACTGTGATCAGATAAACGGAACATGTTTCATTTACAGAGTCAGTGTGTGTTGTTTACAGACCACTCAGAAGGAGGATGTAGGCCCAGCACCAGGGAGAACAAGACCACAGGCAGTCTTAGCGAGAGTCAACAGTGGCATTATAAAATTATCTAACATCAGGTAGAGTCCACAGAAAGCTTTGGCGGAGAATTCTCACAAGCTCGAGCCAAGAGATGTGTCATATGTTGGACTAAAGGGAGACATCTGGGCTTGGTGGGGGAGGGGGGGTACTGCTCAGTTCGATCCGCTTTACAGTATACATTGTCACTTCTCAGAGTCGCTACATCCTGTATCTCACAAACATCAACAAACAGTGTCCTATAACACCATGTTTAAGTATCCGTGACAAATGTTTGGTAATCTTAGTGCTCAATATACAATATTATGGACTCCTATTTTTTCCCCATTTTCTTTTATTTCCATTAGCGGATACTATGATAGATGAAAGCGGTAAATTATTGATAATGTTATCCCTCGACACAGATAGACAGATATTCAGCAAAACTTCCAGACTGGTTCACATTGATCCAGCATAGACAGTGTATAGGTGTCCAGATAATGACAAAGTCGATTCATCTCTCATGCAGGTAGACGTGGCCCAAGAGGGACGGGAGAGACAGGTCTCTTGGGGTGAAGGTTTTCTCCTCGTCTTCTCCCTCACCTGCCGACGATCATTCCTATCTCTGGGTCACCTTCGTAGGGTCATCCTCGAGTTGACCCCTGGTGCCCCGCGACCCTTAGTGCTGGTGGGTAACAAGGCTGATCTTACCCACGCCCGCGAGGTCACCCAGGAGGAGATCCGTGACCTGGCTGACCTCTGGGGTTGTGAATATTATGAAGTTGCTGCACCTGAGCCGTGGGAGGTGGTGGTGCGACCCTTCACGGCCCTGTACCAAGCTGTCCTCCAGAGTCGAGGTGCACAGTGAGGGGGAGAATTACCGCGTCTCTCAATACCAACAGTGATGGCGGGAGAAACGCACCAGCAACCCAACGCACGGCGACTCAAACTGCTACATATTGAACACTGAGGAAACGCCCTACTTAAACTCTCATTGTAATACTAGTTTAAACTTCTCACTGATTAAACTAGTTTTATGCATTCAATGTTATGATACCACTTTGAAATTACAGTATTGTTGTATTAACATGTTAAGAGTTTTAATGTTGCTCCTTGCACCATAAAGTTGTGACTTGAGATACCACATTAAAATTGTCATAACAAGTAGATGCTGTGTTAACTGATGACTTCAAGTGACTATCTATCTATACATATGAATCCTTTACCCATCCATCTATACTTATGTATCTGTCTACCTATTTACCTGTATGTGTAGTACTCATCTATCTATCTATTACTAATCAGCGGTAACAGCCCAATATGGTAATTACCGCATTATTGTTGTCCGGGAAATAATTCTTCTAAATTTTTCCAGGTAATGTTTTGATTTAAGCGTTTTATTATTTTAAAAAGTAATCTATTATTATTAGATATAAATAAATATGTTGTAACTTAAATTGACTATTTTTATGGTATAATGGAGTATATCAGTATTGTTTGGTCAACTCATCTGTACAGTTGGTATGTTGTGGAGAATAGATAATGAGCCAGCCCGCTTAGGGAGTAATGTCTACCTCCAACAGATCTCTGGGCTTGATTACTCGTCATTCATAATTCAATGTTGGAAGGACCAATGTATAAAACCCGCTTATAATAAGATAATAATAAAGATTCCTACACATCTTTGGTGGAGAAGAATATTACATTACGAGAATTAACGATCACCTACTTGGCTACGATGCTCCTCTGAAGCCTGATAGGATGCCGATAACAATCCTCACTGAAATCAACATTAGTCATTATTAGTTCCATTTATTGAATTATAACTTATATTTCAGTGGACTAATCATATCTCGTATATTATAACTGATCAATACCAAGCGCTGAAATATTTACCTTTTATTTTTAATTAACTTGTGTCGTAATGATACACCGAAGATATAAGTTCAGTGTACCGAACCATCTCGTTTTCTGCGAACCTATCTATGGCCCTAAATAACATTCACAGATATAATTATTAACTAAGCAAAGGGTATAAACTCGTGATCCCCTATACCAAGCTTACTTGTCTTTGAGGTGTTTGTGCGGTGCTGGAAGATATTCCTCACCAAATTAAGTAAACTGTCTGTGAGAGGACTCTGTGTATCTCCCAACGTCTGTGTCAGCACTGAGTGGCTGTCATGGCTACTGGTTGTACTTATCCCCTCCGTCTTGTCATTTATTTCACTGACGTCAGTCGGGTATACCAGTTACTCAATTAATCATTTAACTATAATAATGTTTTTCATATTGATTTATTACTTACAAATATGCAATATTTAATGGGTTAATTATTAGTTTTTCAGTAGAGATTATGTAGCTAGTTATTTATTATAACTGTTCCCAATTTAAGGAGTAGCATTTTATTATATACACGAGCTTCTACTGTCAGGGATAATTTTTCCATTTAAACATCACCATATCCCTATTTATTATACAGTTTCAGTACAACCTAATACAATTTAGATTATATACAATCTTAAACTAATTTTATCCTTTCCTGTCAGAAATCTGACATATGTATTAGTGCCTTAAGGTTCTTATTATTATAGATGCTGAAGACTACGATTTTCCGAAATTTTTGTAGGAAATTCAGTGATGGAATTGCTTGATAGTTCGAAGAACTTTGTTACTTTTCTGCCACAAGTGAGTTTATTATAATAGTGCTTTCATAATCAGTACATCAATTACAATAGTACTGTACCACAACGAAGTAAAGTTGTTACATAATGTACTATAGAGGAAAGTTTGGCGTCTATACCTTCAGTACTTTGAAGGAAGATCAATGTACAGTGGCTTTATTTTAAAGGAAGTTTTATTGTACAAGTCACCAGGTAATGAATTTTATGGTTGCAATCAATAGTTTAGACAATTCTTAAAAACACTTCTTCTTGTATGACGCTTCCCTCATAAGGACTTGAATATGCCGCGGGTCCAGCGGACAGTAAAGTAGTTACGAGCATGGTGGGAGGTTATTGAAGTGTATCGAGTTTGTGATATTGATCAACCTTAATCTTTATAAGATTAAGAAATAACCTTTAAATTACTAAACTATTATCTATTGGTTTAGGTTGTTACTGTAAAGTTTACATAAAACAATTCACAAAATAGTAACTTTACTTAAGTTTTGTTCTAAGTCTTATGGGATTGACTAACTGAAATGTTTATTATATTTACTATTCATAAGCTTTTTCTTTGTAGATGACAGATGCAGTTGCTTGGGTTAGTTACTGTCGTGAAGAATGTGTAGGAGAGGAAGACCGCATAGAATGTTGCTGCACCAGATATGAGGCACAAGCCAGTGATGGTCAATGTTGGCACATGATGTTGCTGAAGTTCCTCACTTCATTGATTTATTTACTTAAGAAAGTTTGTTTTATGGTGAAATATTTTGGGGGTCCGGACCCCCTTTTCATAAAAAACTCCAATACCCTGTACTTTGTCTTTAATGCAGTATTGTACTCAGGTGTTTTTGAATAGTAAAAAATAATTACTATTGACCTCAGAATATCTCCTAATATCAAGTGCACATGGCCTCAAAATGCCCATAATATTAGTCAGACTTCAAATTTTTCCTGGGGAGGGCCCGCTGCGCTCGCCATGTTCCCTAGCCCACAACTTCTTGGGCCCCCACCCCCTTTTGATGTTCCTGGATCCACCTCTATGTTTACTTTTAACTTTGCAACCAAGGCCTAGGGTCAGTTTGTAGCAAGGTATCTGATTGGCTGGTGGAAGATGTGTAGTCTCCCTGTGTTGCAGGAGTCAAGTGGGCTTGGTCTTGGGTTATCAAATAATTCACTTTACTGGCTCACATTTAGCATAGTGCCTGCATTCTTGTTTCTCAGTGAGTCAGGCAAGTGTGTACCATTTATTTCTTCCTTCATTGTCACAATTGCCATTGTAACGTTTGATCTTGGGCCTGCTCTCATGTACCAGGAACAGTTAAATCTGAAGGACATCAAGTGATGGCTGGTGTCAATAGGGGCCAAATGTTCCAACTTGGCCACCATACCCTCCTTGTTAATGATGAGATCCAGAGGCTTTGGCAGTTGTTCTCTTCTATAGCAAGGTGGATCTTTAAACATTTTGGAAAAGGAAATTGAGTTTTTATAAACAGTTGCAGGATTTTTTGGTTGTTTGGTGTAATTTTATTCCTCCAGTCTGTCCCCAGAGTCGCCCATAAGGAGGTGAACAGAATCGAGCATTGTGTGGTCTATTAAAGCCTGTAAACTGGCTTGGTTTAATAAATTGTAGTTTGGGGATCAATAAATACATCCAACAATGATAAAAATCGCTTGCCTTCAGTTTAATGTCTACACCATTTTTATTCTTCAAAACCTTCTCCTGCATGCGCCTTCACCTGGCTGGCTCTAAGGTCCTGTCTGGTATAAGTAACACACCCTCTTAAAAGTTATATAAACAGCCCTTGGTATGGTTAAACGAAACTAAATTTGATGTGCAAAATAAATATAATGTAAACATACTGTATTACTGACGTTGCTGTATAGTTAGATAAAATTTCTTCCCTTGGTAGTACCTGCCATTTTATTACTTGAGGATCATTAGGTGATGGGGATTGAAATTTATACAAAACATTTTATTGATCATTTTATTGCAAAACTGAAATGATAGTATCCAGAATTAAGAAAAATACAAAGGGGCAAAAGTTTGATAGAAAATGTCTGAGTACTTTTGATGACTGAATATATCTACATAGTATGTTTATTTTAAAAGGATTCATGATATGACATTAACATTATGAAGGAAGAATGTTAAGAAGACTGAATGCATATTATCAAAAATAGAAATACAGTATATAACCTATACCTATCCAAAACTCTTAAAATATGTCCAGTTGTCCACCTTAGGCTCAGGGCTTGAGGAACACAGGGCAGCCTTAACCTGTGTTGGCCGAGGCAATAACACAAAGAGTGACCTTTCTCCTACAAGCAACTCGAGACCTTAAAAATGGATAGGAAATAATGTAGACTTATTTTGTTTAATTGGCTGGAATTGCTTGTTATCATCTTGTTCTTTTATAATTACTGGTGTATCTAATATGATTGTGGTGGATATTATTATTGTTGTACATGTATTTATTGTTATTCTCTTTACTGTACTCTTATTAGTATTACTATTATTTGTAATATTAGTAATATGATCATTAATACTGTTAAAATTGCCCTGCATCATCATCATCATCATCAACATCATTTGTTACTCTCATTATCGGCATTATCTCTTATTACTGTCATTATCACCTATTGTTGTCATCATAATTCCAAAGCTTTGTTAAACACTGATTAGATCTTCCACCACTGCAGTGTACACCTTTACTCAGTTACACTATGTATACACTCCATGACAATTCATATTTAATTCAATCAGCACATACACACACACACACACACACACACACACACACACACACACACACACACCCACCTTGGAGAATCCCTCTATTTATGTACAGTATTGTATTTTCTCTTTCTCTCTCAACCATTTTCTTTATTCACTCCCTATCTCCCACAGACTTGTGTATTTCCTAACTGCATTTCTCCTCCTCCTTTTCCTCCATGCATTCCTTAACCTATGCCCAGACCCTCCTGCCCTACCATCATTTCTCCCTCTGCCCCGCCAGTCTCACTGTGGTGGGCACGGATATGGTTCTTGAGGTGACCCTTCTGGACGAAGCGATGGGGACACAGGTGACAGGCGTAGGGTCTCTCTCCCGTGTGGATCCTGGTGTGTCTGGCCAGGTGGGAGGGGTACAGGAATGCCTTCCCACAGATCTGGCACACGTAGCTCGGCTCAACGCCCACCACTTTTGAACTCTGGGTGACCTGTAGACCAGAAAGAAAAATTTATTATCACATAAGTCTTCACTTAATGCGGTCCTTAGGCTAGGGATTTTAAGTGTATACGTATGATAAGCTGAAAATTTGTACACTGCTTATAAATTTATATTTTTTATTATTACTTTCATGTGTTTTCTACAAGGCATCCAGATTTACACTATTTTGCACTTCTTTGCCATGAGATGTTAAAACATGAGGTCTTCTGATCTGAAAATTTATCACAAGGTGTAAGAAATTGGTCTGGAGTTTGATATCATTAAGACCGACACACACACATCTAAGGTCATGGAGCCAATGTTGATGAGTCAATTGTTAGCTTAAGTAAACCAGTGTACCAGTAACAAGTCTCCAGCCATTATTCAGGTCTTAAGTCCATAGTTATCAAACCAGTCTTAGTTCACGAAGCTCCTCACACGTCCACAAGTTTCTGAAGCCTCTCACAAGTCTTCTGTCAATCACCATGTCTCAGGTCATGGTCAGTCAGCTAAATTTTAAAACACAAAGTCTTTAAAACTTCTTTCATACAGAATCATTATCCCATATATATAAGTAAAAGCTCATTAACCCAGTTGATGTAGCTTGCTAGGTCAGTAATCAGTGTGCAGTACCTTACATGCTTGATTACCACTGTCACTTAGTATATTGGTACTGTAATTCATATGAAGCTGTTTTTAGGAATTATCATCAGATGCAAACATCTACAATGGAATAGATAGAAAAAAATGAAGAAGACACCGTATTCTGAATGGTTGAGAAGGCGCAGGTAGTCCCCAACACACAAACGGCCGTAATTACGAACGTCATCTCAATATATTCATAAAAAAAATCTGTATTTTTTACATCACTCTTTGTACAGTATTTACGGGTATTACATTATTTTTTCATGTATGGGATATTATTGGTGTTTTTTATGGGCAGTGTTGTGTGTTAACCTCTGGAATTAACATTGTTCTGACTTACATATAGATTGATTTATGAACAGATGAACAGGGTCTGGGAACATAACTCTCTGTACTGTATTCCAAGATGGTAGGAGCATGTGAGTAGCTGCCAGAGGATAGAATGGCCAGGAGTTTGTTTATAGAGGTACTGTAGTGGGTGTGTTGGGTTGAGGGAGGCAGCTACACTACACTGTGGGAGGGAAAGGTGGAATAATACTGAACATCTTGGAGATAACCAGTCAGGGGATAAGGTAAATAAAGGACAAGAGGATATTATAGTGCTAGAGCATGTGGAGGTTCACCTGTCTTGGTCCCCAACAGAGTGAGGTGCCATAAAATACACACAGTACAAATACAGTAGGTACATCCAGATGCTTGAACTCTGCCAAGTCACTGA